TTCAGTCATGGAAATCCACTGGATCATCTTAGGCAAGTCACTCTCTCTCAGCATCAGAGCAAAGCAAAGCAAACACAAGCCCTTTGCAAATAACTCTAGTGAAGAAAACCCCATGGTAGGTTCACTTTAGGATTACCAAGTCAGAAATCACTTTAAGACACAAGACAAGAAATGTAGTGACCACAAAAGAGGAAAAATCCAAATAACTTTGTGTGCTTGGATCTCCAGATCCTCCTCTAGTCCAGTGCTTAACAGGGATGTCTCACATCAACTCCTTTGCTTGGGATACCATGCTGATGACACCAATAAAAATGCCAGGAGCCCTGTGATATTATATTTCCTGGTCAAAAAAAGATGACTTTTCCTTTGCAGCTCTCTATGCCTTAGCTATCCAAGATTGAAACATCAATGGTGTTGGCCTGAAACATGGCACAACTTTCTCTTGACAATTATGCATGTAAAGATGTATAAAATCCCGCCTTGGTCTTCTCATATCTTCTTGCAAGTTTAGACTAAGGCTGCACTTTCCTGTAGTACTAAATATAAAGATGAGAGACTAGTTTTGCAACACATTTGATGTTTGTGATTCTATAGGCCACTGATTCTTTGCTTGCACATTTTTATAGGTGCCAGTCAGCCTGTTATACTAAGTACCTATAGCAGATAATGAAATGAATAATTCACAACTAGCAATTGCTGGGAAAACTTAAGTGCCTCAGTGACAACCAAATCTGATTATCCAAACCTCAGTATGATCCATGTGATAATGGTTAAGAAACAGGATATAACCTAAACTTTGGAAAATATTTTCCCCTAAATAATCAAGACCTCACTGAGCAGTAACATTCTGTAAGTCAATATTTCCAAAACTCTCTGTGTGGAGGCATGTGAATATGAATATGCACTTTCAATTTTATGGTGACCCCATATATTTCATGGGATTTTCTCGGGCAAGGATTAATTACAGATGGTTTTGTCAATTCCTTCATCTGAAATACAGATGACAATTCCCATCCAGATAATAAACAGGGATGATCCTGCTTAGTTTCCATGTTCAGTGAGGATCTGTTTTTGTTTTTTGTTTGTTTGTTTGTTTGTTTTTAGGGTCTTTGCATCTAGGTAACCCTAATGCTACCAGTCCTGCTTGGCCACTTGAAAGCTTAGAACAGGCAGTGGAACAACATAATGATGCACTAATACCCTCTTGTGGTTAAACAAAGTACTGGCAGCCCTGTATTGCAATAAGTTGGTTGAATATGAATACTCATATATAAGCGTAGGTAACCTGGGTTGATTTATCCATGGATCAGTGTGAGTGCTGTACCATAACACTTATTTTAAAAGGATCCATCCCATTATTTATAGTGGAAAGAGTTACAGTTTAGTTTGCTCCCGGAAAACCTAAAAAAAGCACCAAGCTCTTTTCCCCTCATCATGGCAGCATTGCATCTGGCCTTTTTGAATGCCTGAGTGGGGAAATGGCAACTGTGGCTGGGAAACTAGGCCCCCTGAGTTGCCACTCTTGCTTTTCTTTCTACCCAGAATGGCCCTCAACTTATTGACCGGTCACATTAAAACCCATAATTTGGGTCCCAAAACCTGTTCTTGACTTATGTATGAGGCCGACTTATATGTGAATTGCCTAAACAGTAAATGTGGGGTGAAGGCAGGTCTTTATTTTCCTGCATCCATTTGGTGAATGGAAATTAATATCCACAAGGTGGAATTTAGAAAGATATTTTTAAAAAAATGCTATAATGAATTGATGAAGGGGTTTGTAATGGAGCAATGATAAGATCATTGTCTAGGAGCTAGAGTATCACCCTGCAACTATTTTTCTACAAAAGGCTTCAGCACATCATTACATTTGTGCCTCATATGTGCACAAAGCACAGCAATTATGTCAAATACAGTGATCAGATTAGACTTTGGACCTGAAGAGAAGACAGATAACAACAGCTAGAAGATCAATGACAGGTTATTGGACTCTATGGTGCACAGCTTCATGGTTGATTTCACATTGGCTTCATGTCAGTCACAATCAGCTATCTTGATTTGCCCAAAAAAGCAGTGTATTCTGCAATGTAATATTCTGTGTTTCATAGAGGACCTTATCACTTTTCCTTCCTCCTCTTCTTGCACTGAAGCTGTAATAGCAGAAGGTGAGCCCTGTTTTTGGCCCTCACCTTCACCTTTGAGCCTCTATTCCAGGACAACCCACAAAATCCATTTCATCGTGAACCACAAGTAGAAGACAAGGGTTTAATACTGCCTTATACCAGATCAGACTATTAGTTCATCTAGTCATGTATTGTCTTTCCTTGCAGGCAACAGGTCCTATTCCCTTTCCAAAAACTAGTATATATAATGTCAACTGTATACCACACCCAAACTCTTGCTGAGTAAGCAATCGCCTTTTGGCTTTAGGGAAAAGCAGCTTATTGTCATAACTTGTAACAGTTTTTTTGGACCACAGGTTCCAGAATCCTGAAAGCTGATTTTGGAAGCTAGGTTATTAGATATGAGACAGCCAGTGAAGATCAGGTGCCATTGACCCTATTTTGTGGAAGGAACTGGCAAATACAGTGAAAGTACTTAAAATGTGATTGTGTTTCACATGCAAGAAAAGAACTCCCAAGACATACTCAACCTCTGCTCAAAGAACTCCAAAGAAGGAGCGTCTATTGCTCTGTCCTTGCAAATGTTATTGTAATTTGAATCAACTGGTTTGTATTGCCAGAGACTGGGAGCACATCTCCGCAGACCATTTAGAATTCATGTGTTAAACTAGATCAACCGGCCATGTGTGTGTGTGTGCATGTGTGTGTGTACACCATCCCAGGGCTGATTTAGCATATGCCATACAAGATCATCCCAAGGATAAGGGGGGTCAGTGTAGATCCACCCTAGGAATGTATCCGTGCCATAGAACTATAGCAGCAGGGGCGGCTCAGCCCATTACGCAAAGTAAGCATTTGCAGTATAGTTGATTTTTCTCAGGAGCACTCTTGAGGCACTCTTGGGGGAAAATAGATCTTGACATATGCGAGTTGTAGTTACTGGGATGTATAGTTCACCTACAATCAAAGAGCATTCTGAACTCCACCAATGATGGAATTGAACCAAATATGGCACACAGAACTCTCATGACGAACAGAAAATATATATCAGTGATTGGTTTTGGGGGGGGGGGGCAAAATACTGTTTGCTTACTGTTGAAAATTACCTAGGGCCGCCTCTGTATAGCAGTTTGGTTCTACTTTCCATGTAATGGGTTCTACCCACAAACCCTTGGAATTGTAGTCCCACTCTCTTAAACTATAGTAGTGGAGATATTTTCCCCCAATTTCAAATGTAAGGCTTCCTCAGAACAAATATATGAGCATTAAAATAAGATTTATCTGTAATCATAATGTAGATAGCCTCTTGAATACAAACCATGGGCCTTGAGCGTTAAATGATTTTTGTATCCACGAGGGGTGGATGGGGGTTAACCTGAAACCAGGTACCAAGAGCTCATTGTAATTTCATATTTTAGTATAAAAAGTGCACTTATAAAAAAATCACTATTTTAAAAGTTCAAAAAACTATTGTTAATACAGAAATGTTATCTAACATGATATCTTGAATAAGTCCTCTAAAGAAATAGAAACCATTTCAAAGAATGCCTGTTAAAAATGCCTGTTTGAAGGTCTTCGCATCAAAAGACAGAGAGCTGGGTAACTTAGAGATTACATACTTTTTGTTCATTATTTATCCCTACATCCATCTTTCCCATTAGAGAACTTCAATGCTAGTATTTTCCTTTTCATGAAGCCAACAGCAACTGTGGAGATGCAGTTTTCATCACAATATAGGAAAGTGGATCTACTTATTGGGTCCATGTTTCAAATCGCCAAGGGAGAGCTCAGAGAAATGAAAATGAGTACGAAAAGGCTGATTCCTTTAGCTAATCATTATTAGGTTAAACAAAATCTAATTTAATTATATCTACATTAACTTTTATATTAATGTCAGCGCTAAAAACCTTATCAGAATGAAAGTGAAAAATACTTCAATGATTTTACAACACTTTTGGTCCCGTCCCTGTTTTGGGTGTGGAAGAGATGGTAGCACATGCATGAAGTTTTGAAAACCCCATTTCTCATTCATGCTACCATTTTTTTTAGCTTTCCCTCTCCTTCCTCCCCCACCCCAAATATCGTCACCTCCTTGTGAATCCTCTTTCTCTATCTTACTCATTCTCATGAAAGTCTCAAAATGAAGAGCTTCAAAATGTAATGGGACAGATAAGTGTCTCCATCTTGTGTCCAGAGCAGATTATAAAAGGAGCTTTAAGATGTAAAGGGAGCCATCGTCCTTCCACACTCCCTTTATGTTAGTTTAGAATTGTTTTCCCTAAACTATTATATTCTAATTGTCAATATCTAAAATAAAGGATTTAAATGTTATTACTTAGACAACCCCCTGGTGGCGCAGTGGGTTAAACCACTGAGCTGTTGAACTTGCTGACCAAAAGATTGACAGTTCGAATCCAGGGAGTGGGGTGAGCTCCTACTGTTAGGCCCAGCTTCTGCCAATCTAGCAGTTTGAAAACATCTAAGTGTGAGTAGATCAATAGGTACCACTTCTGCAGGAAGGTAATGGTGTTCCATGCAGTCATGCCAGTCACATGACCTTGGAGGTGTCTGCAGACAACACCAGCTCTTTGGCGTAGAAATGGAGAAGACCCCCCCCCCCCCAGAGTTGGACATGACTGGATTTAATGTCAGGGGAAACCTTTACCTTTACCTACTTAAACATCAGAATTACCCAACTCTACACACAAAACAAAAAGCAAGAAAGAATATTTGAAAAATTGAAAAGAATTGGGCTTTGTGTAAGAAACTAAATGTTAAGTGTAAATTTTCTTGGTTCTTCAGCATTGTCTCTTGTTTAATTTATTAATAGTTTAATGAAAAATAACTAAATAGAGGAATTTTAGCTTAAATAATTTCCTTTATTAAAATAAATGCAATCAATCCACCTTCTGTGTTATAATTTAAAAGTTTAATTCCATTCTCGGGAGGTCTAATTACATTTTTTTTTCAAATCACATTTACTTAGGTTCTCAGTAAAGTTTCTGCTATGATTCCAAAATAATGCATTCAGATTCTTCAAAACATTCCTTATAATTTGTATGAGAAATATGGTTATTGTCAAATACTTCCCTGCTACTCCACATAATAAATAAAATAAAATATGAGAACAATGGCTTCAAAATACAGGAAAGGAGATTCCACCTGAACATTAGGGGGAACTTCCTAACTGTGAGAGCTGTTCAGTAGTGGAACTCTTTGCCACGGAGTGTGGTGGAAGCTCCTTAATTGGAGGCCTTTAAACAGAGGCTAGAGGGCCATCTGTCGGGGGTGATTTGAATGCCATTTTCCTGCTTCTTGGCAAGGAGTTGGACTGGATGGCCCACAAGGTCTCTTCCAATTCTATGATTCTATGAGACTGTTTAAGATGGTTTAAGATTAAGATTTGAGGTTAAATAAGCTCCTTTCAAACCAGTAGCTCTCTAGACACGCTTTCCTAGAAGCGCCATCACACCCAGCCAACATCTGAAAGGTGGCAGCTAGAAGAAGACTGCCATCAGTGATTGCAAACTGCATGGTCTTTTGATCGCATAAAGAGGTCAAGAGTGCATAAGAACCAGGTATTCCTACCTAGGTATAAGCAAAACTGATAGGGTGGAAGAGATTATTAAGTTTGAGAATGAAAAGCATATAATATGACAAAAACTGCTCTTAGAATCTGAGAGATTGTACACTAATGGCTGCAACATCAATGAAACATTTTATTAAATTAGCTTTACACAATAGCAACAATATCAAAAGTAGAAAAAACAGAAGTTACAAAAGCCAAACAAAACCAAATTTAAACTATATTATCTGAGATTGAGCATTACATGAAGTACATTATTACTTGGCTTTCCGGACACAACATCTGATGCAGGTTAAAAAGTGTATGATAAATGTACATTATAAATGATAAGGATCTTTGTTCCGCCTCCACTGCACTCTATTAAGGACTGGAATAGTATTCCTTGGTCACCATTCTTTTTTCTGGTAGGGAGGATGGAAAACCTTCTCATGATTCTTTCACACAAACCCACATTTTTTTACTACAGTCATGTTATCACTGATAATGTATATGCTGCATTGAGCACGCTCTATATTGCACCTCTCTTCCCTAGTCCAATTGCACCAGTTTGTCCATTATGGTCCCTCAACTATTCTTCCACACACCCTCATAATCCCACCTTCCTGCACTACTGCTATTCTGTAACTTTTTTATTTTGTAGCTCAATAGCACAATTCTAACACTAAAAACAACCCAAAAAAGCAAATACAAATGCAAAATATAAAATAAAAAGAAAACAGACAAGTTTGGAATAGCAACAGAAAGTGGAGAGAGGGGGGAGAGGAGAAGGATTCCTCCTCCTATCCTCACTTCACTGCCGGCATACTTGTGGTGCCGGCAAGACAGAAAACTGACAGGTCGGAGGTTCGAATCCGGGGAGAGTGTGGATGAGCTCCCTCTGTCAGCTCCAACTCCCCATGCGGGGACATGAGAGAAGCCCCCCACAAGAATAGTAAAATATCAAAACATCCGGGCGTCCCCTGGGCAATGTCCTTGCAGACGGCCAGTTCTCTCACACCAGAAGTGACTTGCTGTTTCTCAAGTCGCTCCTGACATGAAAAAAAAAAAACACCAGCACAGAAGGGACCCATTGTACAAAGGCAGATTATGGGAACATTCTGGAATTGGGAGCTATTGGTAGGGTTTTCCCATTAATAGCTTGAGACAGGAGAATCACAGAAGAGGAAAGTCACACCACCAGCAGAATACATGTGACATTGTACAATAGGGACTATCACAATTCCAGCTGTAATGTCAGTTTGCCTACCTTACACAATAAAGTCCTCAGGGTGATGAAGCCAAAAAGCTACAACTTACCTGGGCAGGATAGAAGGCTGGAACTGCTTGACTGCCTTAGGCTTCTTTCAAAGTCTGCAGTTTATTTTTTATAATTATGGGCACTGACATAAGAGATGGAATAACACTGAGCTGGCAAGAAACACTACTGTCAGCATGTCCTTCTTCCCAGGAGTTCACTATTTCCTTCAGAGGTGCTTAGTGAGTTGGGTTTGGGTACAGATAATGTGGGCTTAGATTCCTGGTCTTCTGTAGAACTCACCAGATAGTCATCACCCCTCTACCTATCTTGACTACACCCCAGAGAAGTTGGAAATAATAATGAACTCCCCTTCAGCTTCTTGGAGAAAGGGCAGATTACCTTGTAAGAGACAAATAATGCCCTTGTAACAGGATGATATGAGACTCACTCAGAGCCTCTCATTCTCCTGAACCATTCCTGATAAATTATCAATCTGGATCAAAGAAAAAATGCATTATTTCCTGCAGTTCACAGTTTTCTTGAGAGATCTTCCATCAATCTTTGATACCTTTGAGTTTCACAGATATTTCACAGGGAGCAAGGAACAACCTGGACCATTCTGTAGCTCCACAAGAGAGAGGGGAAGATCCTACATACTAGGGCCATATAAGGAATTATATCTATCACATTCATGGCAGGCTTCTAGAATAGTTTGTCTACCACTCACCATCTTCTTAGGCCTCTAGGAAAGTCCATCCACTATATTTGTGTTATGCTTCTAAACGAAGGCCCTCCACCATGGTTCATTTAGGTCCATCCACTGTGTTCATATTAGGCCTATAAGGAAGTCCATCCTCAACCCCATTGTCATTCATTCTTTCTCTCAAGTAGTAGCCATGGGAGAACGGCTCCCAACAAAGCAACAGCAGAAACAAGGAAAATGGCCAGCATGATTGGTGATCGGAAGCAACTTATTATTCCCAGAGATCTTGAAGATGCCACAGATTCTGGAGCTTCCACATTGTTGTTGTGAGCTATGGCAGCACCAAAGTTTTCTTCAATCAACGGCATGCCACATTGGGTGATAATGAAGATGTGGGGTTCCCGCTCCAAGCCAGCAGGCTGCATTATGCCAGGGCAGCCACACATATCCTGGTGGGTGTCATAACCATGGAATGGTGCTAGGAAATGACCAGGCACAACTAAAGTGTTTGATGGACTTAAGGTAACTCCACAGGGAAGAGAGGAGGGTGAAAGTGGCAACTCTAGAGCTGGAGGGTTCAGGGCTGACTTCGACAGCCAGCGGGCCCTTTTCCTGCAGAGAAAGGTCACAAAACGACAGACGGGGCACGTGAGGGTGTTCTGGAGCCGACCTTCATCCCGTGACACCAGGAGACATTTGACCAAACAGTCATGGCAAAAGGTGTGCCCACAGCTCAGCATCCGACGTGAGACTTTTGGAGATTGAAACAGCTCATAACATACAGGGCACTCTGATGAGGTGGTGGTAGAACCATCTTTGCTGGGTTTACTCTGAGACATCGCCACCCTCTTGATCACACGTGTAGTTGTAGCACCAAGCTGCATGAAAGACAGAACATGTGTGTTTATAGGGGGCATTGTGATACTGGGTAGCTGTGATCACAGACTCCAGTGAATTGGTGCTGGCATCACATGTTAATGGAAAGAGCCCTTCTCAGTCCCTCTTTGAACCAGAAGACCATAGGTCTACATACTAAAAAACCATGGATATTTCTTAAATATGAGTAAAAAGAACATAAGATGAACAAACCCAAGGTCTCCCAAGTCCAGCATTATAATAATCAATCAGTTGTGTATGAGAAGTCAACAGCAGGACCAGACCACACCAGCATACACATCTAATCACATGATCCCATCACACAGGCAAACTGGCCTTGATGCTAGAAGTGATATAAAGGCAGTCCCGAGTTACAAACATCCGAATTATAAACAACTCATATTTAAGAACAGGAAGTGAGAAAAATCTACCCCACGGAAGGGAAATTCATTCCTGAAAGAGTTATCGTGGGGAAAAGGTGTCTCAGCTGAAGCTTTATGACCAATCCTTGTTTCCACAACAAGCAATTTTCTTTAAAAACAAAAACAAAAACAATTGTCACAGGGACACAAAATGTGGTGAAATCTTCTGAACATAGACACAGGCAGCAAAACAAACACCACATGAGTGTTAACCCTTTCCAATGCTACCCAAAGTGTGTGTGTGTGTGTGTCTGGAATTACACTTTAAATATGTACCTGTTCTGACTTATATACAAATTCAGCTTAAGAACAAACCTACATAACCTATCTTGTTCACAACTTGAGGACTGCCTGTATAGCCATCCCAACTAGGAGCCACAGATTGCCTTCTCCTCCATTAATTTATTTAGTTTAAGTGTGTATTGCATGAATGTAGAATAATAAATGGATATTCCCCTACTTAAAAAAACATTTTTCAAGTAATTACAGCTTTCCATAAACAGGAGGACTAGAAGTAGTTTCTTGTAATTTAGGCTGCACCACACTCAGTCACACACATTCACAGGTGTCACATACCTTTTAAAATTACATATCCTTGATTATATATTCAGCATAATAGGGCCCAGACACCCTGAAGGCATCAGATCCCATCTGTTCTTGGAAGCTAAGAAGGTTTAACCCTGATTGTTATTTGGATAGGAAACCATAAAGTAATACTAGGTGCTGAACATTGAGTTTCAACAGAAGGTAATAGCAAGCTAATCCTGAGTATCGTTTGCCTGAGAAAACATTATAAAACAAATGGTGACTGGCATACGAACACTCACATTTAAATACTATTTTAGAGACACACCCCCATATACATTCTCTAACTAAAAAAAAATAGATATAGATAGCTGAAATGTAACAAAAGTGAAACAATTTACAGTGTAAAATACAAATGGTTTGATCCTCATTTTCAACTCCCAATTGTATCAACAACTCATCAAGAAACTGAAGGGTCACACAGATACATACAGATCACTAGAGGAGCAGGACATCATTTGAAGTCCTCCTTGTCTTCTTGTCTCTTGAATTTTCCAATGGAGAAGATGCTTCCCCGCACTTTCCTTCCAAGCACCATTCTGTCCTTCCAAGCAGAGAGAAGCCTCCTCTCCATGTACACGGGGTTTCTCTGTCTGATCTTCCCAGAGTCACTGTGCCCAAGCCCCACCTATATAACAAGTGATGTTGGATGGGTGGCTCACACTCTGTCCATGCCTTTGCCTTGCGTCAGATCTTAGGAACAAAAAGCAGGCAGGAGGGTGGCTCCCCAAGAGTGAATGTGGAGGAACTAGTTTGTGAATCGAAGGCTTCTTTCTCCTTTCCAGATGTCAGACTTGGGGAGGAGTCACTGTGACTAGGTGTTTGAATTATATTCTCTCAAAGATGCCACAGGAACTGTTCTCAAATATGCCATGCCATATCAAGCATGGAAACCATGTGTTCTGCCTATTGAATAAGATACCAAAACAGAGATATAGATCTTTTTGGTCTACCCTTCCCATAAATTCATCAAGAATTAACCAGGAGGGGCTGGCAACATTTGACGAGCCCTGATCCCATAATGATCACAACACTGCAGCACTAGAAATAATACCATTTGCACTTTGAAAAAAAGTTCTTCACTAAGCAGGGTAGCCTGCAGGGTATAATGGTTAAGGTATTGCAGTAGAACTTCAGAGATCCGGGTTTGGATCATTCCACCATGTAATTCACTGCAAGTGACCCTTGAGCACTTCATTGCCTCTCAGCCTGATCAGTCTCACAAGGTTGTTGTGAGGATACAGTGAGGAAGAGCACAACCATGTATGCTACCTTGAGCATGTTAAAAGAGTGGTGAAACCTACAGTCATCCCTCCACATTTGCAAATTAAGCATTTTTTTATTTGCATCTATTTTACGGCATTGAATAATTGCCCCTATGTAAACCATCTTGAGTTCCTTCCGGGTAGATAAAGGCAGGGTATAAATAGGGTAAATAATAAATTCATGGATTGCTATATCATTGCCTGCACTGCTGCCCTACATGGAACCAAAAATCAGAGCTCTCTAAGTATTTGTAGATCCCCCAGTCCAATCCCATGGTCAACATCTCCACTGGAAGTTGACCATAGAATCACACTGCAGGACCTATAAATGCATAGAGAAGCAATATCTCTGCATTTAGCTTTTTTATTTATATTTGGGGTGTGGGGAGAAATGTTTCACTTTCATGGGAACCTTGTGCTGTTAACACCTGCAAATGTGCAGGGACGAGTATAAATAAAATTACTGGTAATAATGGTATACATAATATGCAACTGCCTGATTGTTTGCTGGAGTTAAAACACTGAAAAGCTTTAGGGAGCTCTGTGGTGGCTAACAGTTTATTTTCATGAATTAATTCCAGCATTTCATTTTGGTTCATCTACACTATAGAATTAATCCAATTTGACATCACTTTAACTGCCATAGCTCAATGTGATCATGGGAGTTGTAGTTTGGTGATGCAAAAGTACTTTTTAGCAGAGAAAGTTAATGGCTTTGTAAAATTAAAACTCCCATATTCCCCTTGTATTGAGCCTTGCCAATTAAACCAGTGTCAAACTGTATTAACTCTATAATGTAGATACAAGGCCTGTGCAAAATTATCTTTAGTCCTCGTAAGTTGGATCAAATTTGTTAAATTCGTACTTCTGTTGCAATATCTGACGTATGGGTGTGGCCTACACCAAAAATTTAAGAATCAAAACTTACCAAATACCTTTTCATTTGAATTTTGTCTTGGAACCCTCCCAAAGTCAGTTTCATTTTCAATGTTTTTGTCAAAACTTTTAAAAATTCCCTGAAATCAGTAAATGTATGAATATTTCTGATAGTTGGGAGGAATAATACCCTGTTATCTTGTGTCATTGTATAGAAAATTCAAAGAGATAGCTCTTGTAGGTTTTCTAAAATGTTGTTTATAAAAACTAAAAAATTCCCAAAAATCTGTGGATAAGTGAAATGTTCTGAAACTTCATGGGCTAATAGGGGTAAATGTGTTCTTCCATTGTAGCAAGTTTCACCCTAATAGCTGTAAAAATGAGGGAGAACAGAGCCCCTGATGTTTCCCCACTTGCACAATTACCATAACAAAAAATAACAAAATTTTGTTACTCTTGTTATAGTAATGAAATTTTCTCTAATAATGCTTTAGAAATGCTTTCTAAGTGAAATGTCACCATCCCTATAATTTTGTAATGAGTTTTGAAACATTTTTTTCATCCATTCCACAGCCCTAGTAGATACACCCTATGCCCAGTATAATCCTATGTATTATCATTATGAAATCTATTTCAATAACATTAGAGTTATTATCAGAGCTTGGAAATGTTACCTTTTTTGAACATTTATTCCTAGAATCCCCCAGCTATGTTGGCAAAGAGAACCTAAAGAACCTTAAATCATGTGGTGGTTGTCCTTTAGGAAGGAATTTGCTTGCAAGAACAATTGATAGATTCTCAACATCCTAATGCCAGCAGATGCTTATGACCGTATAACTAACTCACACACACATACTCTCTCTCACACACACACCACATTTGACATTATGCCAAGCCTGTCTTTATTTACGCTAGAGATGAAGGTTCAACAACATAGTTGTAATGGGAGATTTTAACTATTCTGATATTTGTTGGAAAACGAACTCTGTCAAGAGTACAAAGTTCAAGAAATTCTTCACTTGCCTTGCAGATAATTTTATCATCCAGAAGGTGTAAGACGCAATAAGGGGATCAGCTGTTCTGGATCTGATCCTAACCACACTGAGAATCTGGTAAATGGAGTGAAGTGGTGGGATACCATGTGCTCTTGGAGTTTGTGATACAGAGAAAAGGGAAAAATAAGAAAGGTCAGACATGCATTCTAGATTTTAGGAGATCTGATTTCAGGGAACTTAGGGAAATGCTGAATGTGATCCCATGGATATGAATGCTTAATGAAAAGGGAGTTAATGATGGGTGGGAGTTTCTCAAAAGTGGGATACTGAAAGCACAAATGCAAAAACAGTGCTAACAAGGAGAAAAAAAAACAAGAGAAAACTAAAGAAACCTGAATGGATGACCAAAGAACTTTTAACTGAGATGTAAAAGGAACATATATAAGAAATGGAAAGGGAAGAATGACCAAAGAGGAATTCAAACAAATAACCAACATATGCAGGGAAAAGGTCCAAACGGCTAAAGTGCAAAATGAGCTCAAGCTTGCTAGAGAGATTTAAAACATAAAAGGAGATTATTTGGCTATGCCAGTAAAGAAAGAAAGAAAAGGGAAACAATAGGGCTTCTGCATGGAGAAGGTGATGAAATGTTAACAGGGGATAGATTAAAGGCAGGGCTGCTCAACACCTTCTTTGCCTCAGTCTTCTCCCCAAAAGGTGATCAGTGTTCAACCTGAGCAATTCAGAGTGGGTGAGTTAATAGGGATATTTATTTATTTATTTATTTACTTTGCTTGTATACCGCAGTTTCTCAGCCCGACAGGCGACTCAACGCGGTTTACAACAAGGGATATGCATTGCAACCCAAAATAAGTAAAGAGTAGTCCAGAAAAACCTGGCTACTCTAAATGAATTAAAGTCTCCAGGGCCAGATGAACTACATCCAAGAGTAATGAAGGAACTAGCAGAAGTCATTTTAGAACCACTCAGAAATAATTATCTTTGAGAATTCTTGGAGAACAGGAGAAGACCCAGCATATTGGAGGAGGGGGGCAAATATTGTCCTTATCTTCAAGAAAGAAAAAAAGAGGACCCAAATAATTACCATCCAGTCAGCCCAACATCAATACCAGGAAAGATTGTGGAGAAGATCATTAAGGAGGCAGTCTGTAATCTCTTAGGAAAAATATGCTGTGATTACTAAAGGTAAACATGGATTCCTCAAAACAAGTCATGCCATACTAATCTTATTTCTTTTTTTATGTAGGTTTACAAGCTTGGTAGATGCCGGAATGCTGTGGTTGTAGCATATCCTGATTTCAGTAAGGCCTTTGACAAAGTCCCACATGATCTTCTGGCAAGTAAACTAGTGAAATATGGGTTAGATAATATTACTATTCGGTGGATTTGTAAGTTGAGCGACTGAACCTGAAGTATGCTGACCAATGGGTCCTCTTCATCCTGGAAAAAAGTGACTAGTGGAGTGTCACAGGTTTCTATCCTGGGCCCAGTGCAGTTCAACATCTTTATTAATTACTTAAATGAAAGCTCAGATGGCAAGCATATCAAGTTTGCAGATAACATTAAATTGGGAGGAATAGCTACTATCCCAGAGGACAGGATCAGAATTCAAAATGACCTTAACAGATTAGAGAGTTGGGCTAAAATTAACAAAATGAATTTCAACAAGGAAAATGGCAGTAAAAAGATACGGGATGGGTGACAATAGTACATCTGCAAAAGATCTTGAAGTCTTAGTGGATAATAAGTTGAACATGAGCCAACAGTGTGATGTATTTATTTATCGTGTCAGAAACAATCCGAGGGCACAGTTGTAATGTATTTAAAAACAAGCAAAGTTAAAAAAAAACCTTGGCATTATACTAAATGTCCTTTGACCAGTACCTGGCCACTTGGAGCATCTCTGGTGTTGTTTTAAGAAGGTCCTCCATTGTGCATATGCAGATAAGACTGTGAAAGAGTGTCATAAAGATGGGGGAGCAGACTTGTTTTCTGCTGCCCTTGAAACTAGGACTTGGAGCAGGAAAGGAAATTCCACCTGAATATTAGGAAGAACTTCCTGACTGTAAGAGCTGGTCAACAGTGGAACTCTCTGCATCAGAGTGTGGGAAGATTTTAAATAGAGGCTGGATGGACATCTCTTAGGGGTAGGTAAAGGTAAAGTTAGGTACCTTTACCTAGGGGGTTGGACTAGATGGCCCATGTGGTCTCTTCCAACTCTATGATTCTATGATTCTATATGTAGATTGTGGACAAACTACAACAAAACAAAAATGATTTAAGAGGAACCCTAACTCAGAATTTTACTTTAAAAATAATTTCTTATAGTTACAATTTCATATCTACTCAATAGCTTACTACCATGATGCTTACATTAAAAAAATCAAACTATTTCCTGGTTTCTCATGTACCTGTTTTTGGTTACTTTGAAATCTGAGTGCAGAAGTCTTCTCAACAACAACACAGCACAGGATGTACTATGAAGCATTGCATTAACCGCAAGGCACACCATGAGCTAGCATGTCAACTATGTGACATTTGGTCTCACCCATTTA